TGAGTTAGAGTTCTCCCTCCATGCTTCCTGGCTCATGCCATGGTTATTCCTCTGCACCCATCCTGACCAGCCTCCACAGATGCTGCGCTATCATGTAGGCACCTGGTCCTGAGCTGTAACCTCCAAACTGTGAGCTGAAGTCAAACCGCTTTCCCCAGAAGCTACCCTCAGGTATTTTTGTTAAAGTAACAAAAAGAAGACTAATACATAGTCTATGAGTCTGCAGTATCCTACTTCCATTTATTCACTTTACAAAAGTATTTATTTTCGGGGGCGGCATGGCAGGTAGAGCTGCTGCCTGCAGTGCCAGTGTCCCATCTGGGCACCAGTTCAAGTCCTGGCTGCTCCACTTCTGATCCAGCTCTCTGCTATGACCTGGGAAAGCAGTAGAAGATGGATGGCCCCAGTCCTTGGGCCCCTGCACCCACGTGGGAGACCCAAAAGAAGCTCCTGGCTCATGGCTTCAGATCAGCACAGCTCCAGCTGTTGCGGCCAACTGGGGAGTGAGCCAGCGGATGGAAGACCTCGCTCTCTCTCTTTCTGCCTCTCCTCTCTCTGTAACTCTGACTTTCAAATAAATAAATAAATCTTTTAAAAAAATGATTTGTTTTCATCCGCTTGAAAGGCAGAACACACACACACAGACAATGATCTTCTATCCACTGGTTCATGCCTCAAACACCCACAATAGCCTGTTCCAGGTCTAAGCCAGGAGCCCGGAACTCCATCTAGGTCTCCCAAAAGGGTGTTGGGCCCAAGCACTAGGGCCATCTTCTCCTGCCTCTCAGGATGCCTTAGCAGGGAGCTGGATTGGAAATGGAGTGGCCAGGACTCGAGTTGGATATAGACGTCCCAAGCTGTGCTTAACCTGCTTGTGCCACAAAGCCCATCCCAAGTCACTTTTATTTTGAGCAGTAGTCAGTGAGGCAAGGCACACAGCTTAAAAAACATGTATGTGTGTATGTATATATGTGTGTGTGTATGTGTATATATATATATATACACACACATATATATGTGTATACACACACATATATGCACACATATATTTATTATGTACAGATTGTTTATATAAGTACAAATGATTTCTTAAACAAAAATGCCCAGAAGGAACCTGGTTTTACACACAGTAAAGGTATTATTTACAGAACATTGCTTGTTCATCCTCACCACTCCCTCTTATCTCTGTATGCATTCCTATAATGATATAAAATGCCACTCAGAAGAGCAGCATTTGGCCTAGTAGTTAAGATACCAGTTGAGAGGCCAGCACTGTGGTACAGTGGGTTAAGCCACTGCTTGTGAATTCAACATCCTATATTGGAGTGCTGATTCAGTCCTAATTTCTCTGCTTCTGATCCAGCTTCCTGCTAATGTGCCTGGGAAAGCAGCAAAAGATGGCCCAGGTACTTGGGCCCCTGCCACCCATATGGGAGACTGGATGGAGTTCCAGGCTCCTGGCTTCAGCCTGGCCCAGCCCAGGCAGTGGCAGCCATTTGGGTAATAAACCAGTGAATAGATTTCTCACTCTCTGTCTCTCTGCCCCTCTTCTTCTCTGTCGTTCTGCTTTTCAAATAAAAAATAAGGGGCCAGTGCTGTGGCACAGTGGGTTAACGCCCTGGCCTGAAGAGCCGGCATCCCATATGGGCTGGTTCGAGACCTGGCTGCTCCTCTTCCTGCACAGCTCTCTGCTATGGCCCAGGAAAGCAGTAGAAGATGGTCCAAGTCCTTGGGCCCCTGCACCCATGTGGGAGACCCAGAAGAAGCTCCTGTCTCCTGGCTTTGGATCAGCACAGCTCTGGCTGTTGCGACAATCTGGGGAGTGAACCATTGGATGGAAGACCTCTCTCTCTCTCTGCCTCTCCTCTCTCTGTGTAACTCTGATTTTCAAATAAATAAATAATCAAAAAAAAAAAAAAAAAAAAAACACAGGGAACAAAGCAACAAGAACAACCTTCTAATTACTGGCATCTTTGCAAGATGTGTGCTGGTACAACACAAACTGCTTCTGTCAGAGACAGCCAGTCTAGTGTCCAGATGTCATGCACAGCGTGTCCAGGCCTACTGTGCTCTGCTTGCATGTGTGTGCATGACATTCAGAGCACCCAGGGAATGTGAGTAGTATTGGGAGTGGGGAAAGAGGAAGCAGTGTGAGCGTATGGCTAGAGGAGGTCAGATGAAGTTGTGCAGGGTGAGCCTGGATGTATCATTGGTGCAGACCCAAGCACTGCTGTTGTTCTGTAGTGGGGACATCTGGTAGACCCTGCACTGAGGCCTCCGTGGGCCTGGAGCTGGGCCACAGCACACTGAGGATGCCGCTGCTGGAGTGGCTGATGGTTCTACACTGTATGTTGTGCTGGAGTTTCTGGAAGGGAAGGCCACGCAGCCTCTCCACAAAGGCAGCTTTTCCATGAACTGCTGTCTGTTGCATGATGTGTTAGTGTCAGTCATGCCTCAGCGGGCTCTGTCATTCTCAAATAACTGATCAATGAAGCTGGATCCCATCTGCTGTCAGTGCTCTCAATGTTATCTGGCCTTGTGAGACTCAAGAGGCTGGTACAATGGCTGCTGAAAAGGTATAGTTTTAAGTAAAGCAGCTCTGACAAATCATAATTTAATTTTTCTCTAAATATTTATGCCCAAGGATCAAACATGAGATATGTGGATTGCAGTACGAATCCAGAAATAGTCAAAGCTTTTATTAGTCACTAAAAATTATGGTAAGAATACAGTTTGGTGCTCAGAAAGCAAAATACAGAATTGCCATATGGCTCCAGACTTGGACTTCTGTCATATACACCAGATAATTGAAAATACATGTTTATGCAAAAACATGTGCACAGATGTTCACAGTAACATTATTTACAATAGCCCAAAGTGAAAACAACCCAAATGTTGAATGAATAAACAAAAATAAATAAATAAAAAGGAATGAAGAATTGACAAATGCTATAATATGGATTGGCTTTGCAAACATTCTTTTTTTAAAAGATTTTTATTTATTTGAAAGTCAGAGTTACAGAGAAGAGAGAGAGAGAGAGAGAGAGAGAGAGAGAGAGAGAGAGAAAGGGTCTTCCATCCAATGGTTCACTCCCCAATTGGCTGCAACGGCCGGAGCTGTTCTGATCGGAAGCCAGGAGCCAGGAGCTTCTTCCAGGTCTCCCACATGGGAGCAGGGGCCCAAGGACTGGGGCCATCTTCTACTGCTTTCCCAGGCCATAGCAGAGAGCTGGATCCGAAGTGGAGCAGCCGGGACTAGAACCGGCGCCCATGTGGGATGCTGGCACTTCAGGCCAGGGTGTTAACCCACTGTGCCACAGCACTGGCCCCCGGCTTTGCAAACATTCTAAGTGAAGCCAGACACAAATGGCCCAAGGTTGTTACTTCATGTATGTAAAATGGCAAGAACTGGCAAATCTGTAGGGACAGAAAGAAGATTAGGGGTTGCCAGGTTTGTAGGGCAGAGTTAGGGAGCTCAGAGTGACTGCTAAGGGACCTGGGATATATTTTTGCAATGATGACCATGTTTTGGTGATAGTTGCATAACCTTGTGAAATTATGATTGTTGAAAAGTAGAACTAAAAGATAAGCTTACTTTGGGACAAAAATTTAGCTATCTGTTCATACATGGTCTTCAAAAAGCACACGGAAATGCATATATTCTGTGCTGTGACATAGTGGGTAAGCTGCTGCCTGCAGTGCCGGCATCCCATATGGGCACCGGTTTGAGACCTGGCTGCTCCACTTGATCCAGCTCTCTGCTATGGCGTGGGAATGCAGTAGAAGATGGCCCCAGTCCTTGGGCCCCTGCATGCGTGTGGGAGTCCCAGAAGAAGCTCCTGACTTCTGGCTTCAGATCATCTCAGCTCCGGCCGTTGCAGCCATCTGGGGAGTGAACCAGTGGACGGAAGACCTCTCTCTCTCTCTGCCTCTGCCTTTCTGTAACTTTGCCTTTCAAATAAATAAATAAATAAATAAATTTTTAAAAAAACTTACTGAATTTTACATTTTCAAATGATGAATACTATGGTATATGAATTGTAGCTCAAGAGAAAAAATAATCCAACGAAGGCCACTAAGCAACTAAATCTACAACTCCCCCCTCCAGAGGCTAAATGCCAACTGAGGACTGATGTTTCTGAGGGTGTCATCCTCACTTTGATTGGCACGGGACCCTTGCAACCTGTACCAGGACTCACTTGTAAGATGTGTGACCTCTGACCGGCGCCGCGGCTCACTAGGCTAATCCTCCGCCTTGTGGCGCCGGCACACCGGGTTCTAGTCCCGGTCGGGGCACCAGATTCTGTCTTGGTTGCCCCTCTTCCAGGCCAGCTCTCTGCTGTGGCCAGGGAGTGCAGTGGAGGATGGCCCAAGTGCTTGGGCCCTGCACCCCATGGGAGACCAGGAGAAGCACCTGGCTCCTGCCATCGGATCAGCGCAGTGTGCCGGCAGCAGCGCGCCGGCCGCAGCGACCATTGGAGGGTGAACCAACGGTAAAAGGAAGACCTTTGTCTCTGTCTCTCTCTCTCTCTCTCACTGTCCACTCTGCCCTGTCAAAAATAACAAAAAAAGAGAGTGTGACCTCCTCCACAGCCCTTCTTACCCATGAGTTTTGACCCAGGAGGCCAGAGAGCAAAGGGACCTGGAAGAGCTTATTCCCTGGAACCTCAGGGGTCCTCTGGGGACAGGTGATCTGATGTCCTGAGCCATAGCATCTATCGGACCAGGGTTCCATGTGACTCGCTGCCTTGGACCCAAATTCCAGAGGCACTTGGACTCTCAGGTCTGCATTCACCCTGTGGAGGCCTTATCCACAGCAACCGTTAAGGCCCGGATGGCACCATCTCCTCAATGCCACAATGAAACAACAGGGGGCACCTAACTCTTCCTGCAGTGCCGGCCCTGCTGAGCTTTGCAGCATAAAAATCTTCCTCACTAAAGGGTGGTTGAGATCAGTGAGGGTCCACTTTCTAAAGATCAGGATTCACAAAAGGTTGTACCTTGTACTGAAAAGTCTGTGGATGGCAGCAGTTGATCTGAACGCTTGAAGTTTCTGCAGATTGCTGGTGTGGTTGGCAGAGTGGATGGCATGGCTGTCCCAGCTGACTGTGCCTGCTGCTACCACAAGTCTGTCTTAGCATGTCCCTTCCAGAGGTCGCCATTCTGCAATCAGAGCCTGGCAGCTTTCTTCCCAATGCTGCAGAACGTACGCTAAGTCAGCCTGAGCCTGAGTGTGCGCTAAGTCAGCCTGAGAGTGTTGTTCCTGGAGCTCAGGCTGAGGCAAGTAGGACAGCGGTAGTCCTGTGCCAGCATGTTCTTTGTGATCTGGGCATTCTTCCAGAGTGAAAGGAACCTGAGTGTCTGAGAAGTCCTCCTCCAGAGGCAGCAGGACCGGCAAGTGATTGGGGAGAGTCACGGTGGGGTCAGAGTTCTGTCCCTGCCCAGCCTGGGTCACCTGTGTGGTCACAACACTTGACCTTTGGCTCACACAGACACTGAAGGGATCCCAAGGGGCAAAGGGCATAAGGACAGGAAGAACTGTTTGGGTGCTGCTGAAAAAACCAGAGGAAGGAAAATGATGAGTCCCATCTGGGAGTGTGGACAGGCGGCTAGGGCTGTGCTGGACAATCAAGGCTGGCTGCCCATTTGCCTCGCTTTCTGGGAAGTTCATGAGTTCTCTTCTGTTCTGCAGAGAGCACAAAGCTCTTTCTTTCTGAAACCACATCTAAGTGAGAAAAAGGGAGACGTTATGAAACATAAGCCATTCCAGCTCTGCTTCTCATGCTCTGAAAATCAAGGGCTTTCAACTCAAGGCCTAACAGCGGGCTTTCATGTATGTGAAAGTCATGTGTTTTAGATACAGCCCAATCTCGGATCAAGGATTAGCACACACAAAGAAATGTTTTTGAGAATTCCCTTGCTGTAAGTTTGTGGATGTGCCTCCTGAGTCATGGCACTCAACAGAGGCCACTTCACTCTCCCATGACTCAGGTAGGAGGAGGCACTCAGTGGGGGCAATTTTGTCTCTCAAATGGAGGACATTTAACAATGTCTGTAAATGTTTTTGTTGTCACATATAGGGAGAGCAAAGAGAAGAAGGCAGTTTACTTGTATCTGGTTGGTAGAGGACTGGAATGCTGAAAAATATGCACAGGGCGCCCCCACATCAAAAAGAGTAAGCACCACGGGCGGTGCTATGGCATAGTGGGTAAAGCTGCCACCTGCAGTGCCAGCATTCCATATGGGCACTGGTTCAAGTCCCGGCTGCTCCTCTTCCGATCCAGCTCTCTGTTATGGACTGGGAAAGCAGCAGAAGATGGCCCAAGTCCTTGGGTCCCTGCACCTGCGTGGGAGACCCAGAAGAAGCTCCTGGCTCCTGGCTTTGGATCGGCGCAGCTCTGGCCGTGTGGCCAACTGGAGAGTGAACCAGCCGATGGAAGACCTCTCTCTCTCTCTCTGCCTCTCCTTCTCTCCATAATTCTTTCATATAATAAATATTAAAAAAAAAAAAACTCATCCCAAAGAATAAATCTGACAAGGTTGTAGAAAATCTCCCCGAACTATCTCAGAATAGGTATCACCTTTCCTGTGTTTACTGTGGGTGATTCTAAACGGAAGCTTCAGGATCTGGTCTGCCAATATTTCCTTTTCAGGAATGCGACTTGCACTGCCAGGGGTTTCCCCCAACCTTTGTCCTTGATGACTCTGATAACCTAAGAAGGCCCCAAGTTTCTAGCGACCAGGGAAGACACACCCAGAACTTACTTGAATTCTTGATGCCCGAATGCCCACTCGCTTGGCCAGTTTCTTCATGGTATTAATGTCAGGGAATCGGTCCCTCTCAAAGGCTTGCGCTAGGATCCTTCTTTGAGCTTCTGTGATGGGGAACTGATCTTCCCTGGCTTTTTTGAGTAAGCATTCTGAAGGAGAATACAGGAACAAATGAGGGCTTTGAGGCCAGTTTTCATATTCAAACAGGAAACACAGATGACACTGACCATGCTGTTTTCTCTGAATCCCCCTGAAGAGACAGAAGAGCAGGCTGTGGTGGATCTCAGGAGAAGCAAAAGGTCAAAAGCCTTGCTAGCTAAGAACCTTACTCAGCTGACTGTGAGACAGGATTTGTGTTCTGCAGCCAGCGTACCCAGACGAGCTGTGAGCAGCTCGTGAGCTAAGGCAGCTCTATGAAGAATCTGAGCACATTATGCAGTTATTGCCACACAACGGGACCCACTGAGGGACAGAATCTGGGCTAGTGGATTCTTACCCTGACTCCCCTGGATTTGATCTTCTCCTTGGGAGCATTGATTCTCCAGTTGCTTCTGTTTCCTTCTTTGGTTTTTAAACCAAGTCTAAGATGAAAAACAAGATGTGAACGTCATATAACTCATTTTATTTTATGGCATTCCAAATGCCAATCAATTAAACGAAAATGGATTTGGTCATTTGCTCTTAGAATCCTATTCATAACTGAAAGACAATGTATCAGGTGCTTTAAAAAGTTCATGTAGAGGCCAGCGTTGTGGCATAACAGGTTAAACTGCCACCTGCAATACCGGTGTCCCATATGGGCAGCGGTTTGAGTCCCAGCTGCTCCATTATTGATCCAGTTCCCTGCTAATAATCTGGGAAAGCAATGGAGGAAGGCCCACGTCTTTGGGCCCCTGTGCCCACGTGGGAGACCGAGAAGAAGCTCCTGGATCCCGGCTTTGGCCTGGCCCGGCCCCAGTTGTTGTGACCATTTGGGAAGTAAACCAGCGGATGGAAGATCTCTTTCCTCTCTTGCTCTCTCTCTGATGCTATAACTCTTACAAATAAATAACTAAATTAAATAAAATGTGGTATAAGGATATGTTTTTTTTTTCTGGTGCAATTTAAAAAAAAAAAAAATCCATGCATAGTGGTGGACACGTACATCAGCCTCAGCCATTTTAAGTTCTTGCCTGTAAGTAGACAGAATGCCATTTTACCCCTTGCTCCTGCCTTTCTTTCAAGAGACCAGCTCAGTCTCACACCCTGTGTTGTTCCCCATTCCACGCCCTGCATTCTTCTCCAGGTTTGAAAGCCTTTGAAAAACTTGAGGAAACTGTATGGAGAAGCTTACCTCTGCCTACTGCCCTCCATCCACCTAAGATATAAAAAGGCCCAGCCTACTAGGGTTTGGGCCCTCTGCCACATTTTCTGTGTGCACACTGGTGGTTGGTCGAATTCAGCAAGTTTATTTTCTTTGAATAAATTCAGTCTCACTGTGAGTTCATACCCTGTCTCCTCTCTGTTCTACACCCTTCTCTCTCTCTCTCCCTCTCTCTTTCTCCTTTCTTTCTCTCTTTTACAGCTTGAGTTATAGACAGTGAGAAAGAGAGACAGAGAAAGGTCTTCCTTCTGTGAGTTCACTCCCCAAATGGGCGCCACGGCCGGAGCTGCTCCAATCTGAAGCCAGGAGCCAGGTGATTCTTCCCAGTTTCCCATGCGGGTACAGCAGTCCAAGCAGTTGGGCCATCCTCCACTGCTTACCCAGGCCACAGTACAGTAGAGAGCTGCACTGGAAGAGGAGCAGCTGGGACTAGAACTGGTGCCCATATGGGATGCCGGCGCCACAGGTGGAGGATTAACCAAGTGAGCCCCTGCGCTTGCCCCCGCCCTTTTCTTTACACATAATTTTTTTGGGGGCCAGTGCTGTGGTGTTGTAGGTTAAGCTTCTGCCTACAGTGCCGGCACCTCATGGACACTGGTTCAAGTTCTGAATGCTCTATTTCCAATCCAGCTCCCTGCTAATGCACCTGGGAGAGCAGTGGAAGATGGCCCACGTGCTTGGACCCCTGCACCTAAGTGGGAGACCTTGGATGAAGTTCCTGGCTCTTGGCTTCAGATGGGCCCAGCTCTGGTCCTTGCATCCATTTAGGGAGTGAACCTGCAGATGTATGACCTTTGTCTCTCTCCCTCTCTCTGTAACTCTGCCTCCCAAATAAATAAATAAATAAATACACCTTTTATTATGTAAATTTCTTTTCTTCTTACTTTGGGTTGACTTTTTTTCTTTTATAAGTTTCTTAAGGTGGATATCTAGGTCAATCTTTTAAAAAAATATTTATTTTATTTATCTCTTTGAGAGGTAGAGTTACAGAGAGAGGGAGAGACAAAGGTCTTCCATCTGCTGATTCACTCCTCAAATGGTTGCAATGGCCAGAGCTGGGCTGGTCTGAAGTCAAGAGTCAAGAGCTTCTTTGGGGTCTCCTACATGGTTGCAGGGGCCCAAGAATTTGGACCACCTTCTATTGCTTTCCCAGGCCATAACAGAGAGCTGGATCAGAAGAGCAGCTGGGATATGAACCTGTGCCCATATGGGATGCATGCGCCACAGGCAGAGGCTTAGCCCACTAAGCCGCAGTGATGGCCCTGATAAATAAATCTTAAAAAAAAAAAATCCATGCTTAATTTTTTCATAATATGCATTTCTATGAACTTGTTGAAGATCCCTTGTATTAATACTATGAATGAATGATACTGCTGTTTGCATATAACTGAGGACCACGCATGAATCTGTACCAAATTCAAATGAACATTTTTTAATGGTCATCCTCATGGTATCTGAAGTAAATTTCCCCAATTTCAGAGACCCTGTTTGGCTTTTCACAGAAAATCTTTCTCACCAACCCTTCAATACCTGAATATCTTTTTCTTGGTTCCCATTATTTCTTCATGGGAAGCTGATCATAGAAGAGTTTTTTCTAGGACTGGCATTATGGCATAGTGAGTAAAGCTACTGCCTACAATTGCCAGCATCCCATTTGGGCGCCGGTTCACAACCTGGCTGCTCCACTTCTGATCCAGCTCTCTGCTATGGCCTGGGAAAGCAGTAGAAGATGGCCCAAGTGCTTGGGCCCCTGCACCCATGTGGGAGACCAGGAAGAATCTCCTGGCTTTCAGATTAGCTCAGCTCCAGGTTGCGGCTATTTATAGGGTAGTGAACCAGCAGATGGAAGAACTTTCTCTCTGTAACTCTGTTTTTCAAATAAATACAATAAATCTTAAAAAAAAAAAGTTTTTCTTTAGTGTTGCAGAATTAGCCACGGTAAAGAGCTGGTCTACATTCACTTCTGTTTTCCTTTGCTCATTTCATCTGAGTCAGCAGTATTTTATACTGCTGGTATATACTAGGGGATTCCTAGGGACTGGAACACCTCCCTTAGTTACTCAGGCCATCCACTGAACTCTTTGCTTTTGTGCTTGTTACTGGAGTCAGAATCGCAACATACTTTCTAATTACTTCAGAGTGTTGTATCTTGGTCTTGAGAAGATTTTTGAGATTCTGGCTCTTAACGATAACCAGTAACTGAGTAACCACTCTTGTATTGTAGGCATTGTGCTCAAAGGTTACTGCTCTTCTGTAAATGAATCAAGCAAAGTATTTTCAGATAGGAAGTCTTAAACACAGGTGGAAACTGGAAATGAGTGAATTTGCCCAATGGAGGGCGATTACCTTTTTCAAAGCCAATCACCAGCTATTCCTATAAGATACACGTTATCACTATGATTTGAGTAAACTCTTGTCTCTTATACCCAGTACAAACACACAAAGAGGTAAGTACAATTTCTTCTTTCTATTATTCCCTTGGACCAAGGCTCTTGTAGACAATGGTTTATTGGAGATTCTGCCTTTGATATAAAACCCAAAATTCATTATTTTCCTCTAGAAATACATTTACATCAGGAGATCTATTCAAAATAATTCAATATAGGATTTTATTTCAAACATTTTGTGTTTGTGCATCATATTTGAGACATCAAATTTAAAAAAGAAGGAAAAAAAACTAGCCTGAGAATGGGGAATTCACATGCATTATTCCTCCAAGGTTCCTGGTGATTACATATGCATAATTTCCCTGTGGTATACTTTCCAAGGCTTGAGGAAGTGACATCATCATCATGGTGACCCAATTTCCTGTGTTCTCAAAAATCTCTGAATACAATTCAGGTAGCTCCTACTCAGAGCCTGAGACAAAGAACTGTGCTCCTCCCATCAGTGGAGACATACACATGGTATTTATGCCTTTTGTAAAGGGGACGGACAGAGTTCTTGTTTCTCTTTTGTTCATAATGACAGGAGTAACCTTTTTTGCAAAACACCTGACATGAGAAAATTGCCCTGAAGTTCTGAGCCCAGCTTTACTTCTCTACCTGACTGACAAATAATAAAATAGAAATCTAATGCCTACTTGAATTTTAGATGCTGGAATGCCAATTTCTTTGGCGAGTAGTTCCCTGGAAGCTTTGTTAGGATTGGGGTTCTGCTCAAACCATGCTAAGAGTATGCCCTTCTGGTTCTCGGTGTAAGCAATCCTGCCTTGAAAGGCTTCTTTCTGTGGCGTGCCTGAGAAAGAGAAAAGAAGGAGAGGAGGATAAGGAGACATTGACGGGTTAAAAACTGTGTTATGAGAGTATGTCTTATAATTATTCCAAGTAGAAAGCCTGGCATTGCAGGCTTTAGGCATGCAGCTGAAGTTGTGCTAAATTAGACACAGAAGGGTTAAATACACATATTAGAAAACGAAAATCAGAAATCCAGGATTGGGGCCTGGCCCTGTGTCCTAGTGGGTAAAGCTGCTGCCTGCAGTGCCGGAATCCCATATGGGCACTGGTTTGAGTCCCGGCTGCTCCTCTTCCAATCCAGCTCTCTGCTATGGACTGGGAAAGCAGAAGAAGGTGGTCCAAGTGCTTGGGCCCCTGCACCCATGTGGGAGACCCAGATGAAGCTCCTGGCTTTGGTTTGGCACAGCTCCGGCCATTGTGACCAATTGGGGAGTGAACCAGCAGATAGAAGAGTTCTCTCTCTCTCTCTCTCTCTCTGCCTCTCCTTCTCTCTCTGTATAACTTAGACTTTCAAATAAATAAATCAATCTTTTTTTTTTTTTTTTTTTTTGGACAGGCAGAGTGGACAGTGAGAGAGACAGACAGAGAGAAAGGTCTTCCTTTTGCCATCGGTTCACCTTCCAATGGCCGCCGCGGCGGGAGCATCGCGCTGATCCGATGGCAGGAGCCAGGTACTTATCCTGGTCTCCCATGGGGTGCAGGGCCCAAGTACTTGGGCCATCCTCCACTGCACTCCTTGGCCACAGCAGAGAGCTGGCCTGGAAGAGGGGCAACCGGGACAGAATCCGGCGCCCCAACAGGGACTAGAACCCGGTGTGCCGGCGCCGCAAGGCAGAGCATTAGCCTAGTGAGCCGTGGCGCTGGCCCATAAATAAATAAATCTTAAAAAAAAAAAATCCAGGATTTCAGAGAAATAACTTACAGAAAATATACAAAATTACAATGAAAATAGGAAACAGTAGAAAGAAGGAAAATAAATGAAGCAAAGTAAAACTAATGAAAAAAGAGAAGGTTAGATACAAATACACAAAACTGGTACTTTGTAATAAACATGAAAATTTAACAAAATATGGGGCTAGCACTGTGACATAGAATGCCAAGCCTCCTCCTGATGCGCCGGCGTCCCATATGGATGCTGGTTCCTGTCCTGGCTGTTACTCTTTGGATCCAGCTCTCTGCTATGGCTGGAAAAGCAGTATTAGGTGGTCCAACTCTTTGTACCCCTAAACTCATGTAGGAGACCCGGAAGAAACTCCTGGCTCCTGGCTTTGGATTGGCCCAGCTCTGGCCATTACAGCCATTTGAGGAGTGAGCCAGCAGATGGAAGACCTTTCTCTCTGTCTCTCTCTCTGTCTGAAATTCTACCTTTCAAAAAAATTTAATAAAATTATATATAAAACATTACATATTATTTAAAAATATAATATTAGCTATTTAATAAAATATTATATATTTTTTTCTTCACTTAAAGTGTTAACTTTAAAACTTTAGGCAGATGACCTAGCTACATGGGATTCTCAGTCACATTTGAAAATCAATCCAGGGACCGGTGCCATGGCTTAGTGGGTAAAGCTGCCGCCTGCAGTGCTGGCATTCCATATGGGCACCAGTTCGAGTCCCGGCTGCTCCATTTCCAATCCAGCTCTCTGCTGTGGCCTGGGAAAGCAATGGAAGACGGCCCAAGTCCTTGGGCTCCTACACCCGAGACTGGAGACCTGGAGGAAGCTCCTGGTTCCTGTCTTCTGATCGGTGCAGCTCCAGCTGTTGCGGCCACGGAGGGAGTGAACCAGCGGATGGAAGACCTCTCTCTGTCTCTGCCTCTCCTTTCTCTGTGTAACTCTGACTTTCAAGTAAAATAAATAAATCTTAAAAAAAAAAAAAAAGAAAGAAAGAAAATCAATCCAGCTTCACAGCATCCATCAATACCCTGAAACCATTCATCACTGAAAAACAACAGTCTGTCTCTCTAATCATGCGCATACTTTAAATGTCCAGAAACTCTAAAAAATAAGGCATGTGGTGTCATCAAAGAGCAGAGCCGAGTGGATCGAAACTCACCGCTTATGGTACTGTTTAAGTCCATTTGGGAAAGAGGACCCAGATTCCACAGAGACCAGGGAGCAACTGAGTCAGTCCTCCAGGAAGAAACAAGATGTGGCTGATCAGGAGGCCCCACCCCTTCCTTAAATACCCTTCCACTTAATTACTTCATTAAATACTTCGCAGCTGTAGAAAGAAACTTGAACAAGTAATCACACTGGCAGATTCTCCTGGGTGATTTTATATCTTTCCCAGGTATCTCTCCAAAGATGACTTTGATTCTGTGATCATATTGTTACCAGAATTCCGAGTCAGAACTCAAGGAAGAACTACGACCGAGGCAATAAAGGGGGTGGGGGTGGGGAGGGAGAGCAAAGCAAGTGGAAGTAGATTTTACTGGGAAGCAGAAACTTTAGTTTGCCAGCAGTGGTCTCCAAGGGAGGGGCCGTCAAGGCGTCCTAGATAAAGGCTGTATTGGTTCCAATAAAGGCTTTTATTATGCAAACAGAGAACCACAAGTTTCTATTCACACAACACACTGGGTTAAACCAACCACCCAAGTTTCCCAAAGTACCTCCGGTACTCCTCAATAGGTGTCCTAGCTGAAGAGGGCGGATTCTCCAGGCGTCCGCATGTGTGGTACCTCTGGGCCTAGGAAGGCAGGTCTGGAAGGGCCAGTGGAGTCCTGGCATCGGGCGAGTGCAGGGCTGGCTGCGAGGGAAGTCTGAGTGCTGCTGGTCAACCCGGAGGATACGGGGAAGAGCCTTTGCTCTGTTGCTCTCTGGAGAATCTTGTTGAACCTGGTTTGCTTGTGGTTTATATTTGCTTCAGTGTGGCCTTATCGGTGGTGTGCAGTTCTTGTTGATGGGTAGTGGATGGTAGCTTTGGGATACGCATGGAGGAAAGGCCTACACTTCCGGGAATGGAAAGTTCCTACCTGTACTTCCCCGGAAGAAAAGTCCTTGTCAAGGTCCCTGCAGGTGCCTAAAGGTCAACCAGTGAGGACCAGACCCACCTCAACCTTTAACCCCCATGCCCTGAATCTATAAAAGTCCCTGCTCTGTTGCTCTGTTGGGACCGGGGAACCTCGCCTGGGAGTGGAACCCCAATAAAAGCTTGTGAATTAATTGATTCGTCTGCCTGGGAAGATTTGTTACGCGCCGGACACCTTGCAGTGTAGTCATGGGTGGTGTGGTTTGTCGTATCTATTGGAGAAGGTCAAGTCCTGTATGCTCCTTATACAAGGTCAGGGTATTGGGAGCTTATATAGGGAGTGCATATGGATTGGTCAGTTCTTCTACCTGAGTTTCAGTACCTCAGGGGTCTGCTTTGTTTTTTCTATGTCTCTTGTGTTCCTGACCAGTTAATAAACATTAGCTTGTTGACCACTTGGGAGAGGTGACAGTTGGGAAATATTGTTGACCTGAATGATTAAGGCAGGCTATACCTATCTGATCACTTGCTGGCACCTGAGACAATCTGCTCTGTGGTGTGTTCTGGCGTAATTCCAGAGCTTAGGTTCTCCTTCGGTTACCTGTGGGTAGGGACGATTGTGTCCCCTATTAATCCTTTCATCTTCTTGGGGCAATGTCTTTTGTGTTGTCAGTGGATGGCAGGTTTCACCATCATTAAGGAACATCCTGTTCTTTATTCCCAAAGGGGCTTTTCCAGGGCAGGGGCTGTGGTGTAGCAGGTAACGCTGGGCTTGCCGTGCCAGCATCCCCTGTGAACACCAGTTTGACAGTGTCCTGGTTGCTCCACTTCTGATGCAGCTCTCTGTTATGGCCTGGGAAAGCAGTGGAAAATGGCCCAAGTCCTTGGACCCCTGCACCTGCCTGGGAGACCTGGAGGAAGCTCCTGGCTCCTGCCTTTGGATCGGCACAGCTCTGGCTGTTGCGGCCTTCTGGGGAGTGAACCATCAGGATGGAAGACCTCTCTCTCTCTCTCTCTCTGCCTCTCTGTGACTCTTCCTTTCAGATAAATAAATAAATTAAAAAAAAAAAAAAAAGACCAATGGGAGGCAGTTTTAGAAGTCTAGTAAATGGTTATTCCAGGACACTGAATGGCTCTGGGGGACAGAAATTGACTTATGATTGTCCTCAGAATCTGAATGAGCCAGAAAAACAGATATTAGCTTTGACAAAGTCTAACCAGGTGTGGTAGCTGTTTCTCAGTCTTCTTTTCACTTCATTTTAAAAAATGTTTATTTATTTGAAAGGCATAGAGACAAAGACAAAGATAAGAATTCTATACACTGTTTCATTCCCCAAATTCCTTCAAGAGCCAGGGCTGGGTCAAGCTGAAGCCAGGAGGTTGGAAGTCAATTTGTGTCTCCCATGTGGGTTCCAGGAACACAAGAGACACAGACCCTGAGCTGTCTGACTCCCTTGCAGTGGAGATTGACAAGAAGCACCCGGATGAAGTTTCCTGGGGGTTATCCTGAACACAGGGAGACTGCACAGTGGGAAGAGCTTCTGCCAAGTGCTCAGTGAGGGAAGCCGGGCAGGGTTTTTAATCAGATGGGAAGGTGTGGTACTTCCCCCTGAGCACATGGCATTTTGATCTACATCTGGCTTGGAGTTCTGGCTTGTCCCCTTGATCCATGACACTTCAGTTTGCACCTGGCTTTGATGTAGGCAAGCAGATAGGATAAAGTCCATTAGGTTTGTGATTTGGAAGATTATGCCCCCTGTGTAACCTCATGCCCCTACCTGACCCCACCTGTTTGCCCAACTGCCAATCACTACGTAACCACTCCCCTTTGGAAGTGGATAAAAGGCCTGGAAGCCGGTGGGGGTGGGGACGCATGGTCTGTCTATTGTCCTGCTATCTCTGCTTTTGCTTCTCTACTCGTGCTAAGCTGCCTATGGCTGCTTATAACCACATGCTTGCTCCACGTGGCTCACTCCTGGCTTGCTCTCTGCTTGGTATGGACCCAACTTAGTTTCTAGACTTCTCTTTTTCCCCTAAAGTCCTCACTCTCCTGCACATTTCTCTCACTGGATAAAATCCTTAAAAACTTACCATTATTGTCTGGTCTATTTGAGCCAGTATTCAGAATTCTCTGAATATGTGGCAAAAGCCCACAGGTGGCCAGCGCTGCAGCTCAATAGGCTAATCCTCTGCCTGCGGCGCCGGCACCCCGGGTTCTAGTCCCGGTTGGGGTGCTGGATTCTGTCCCAGTTGCTCTTCTTCCAGTCCAGCTCTCTGCTGTGGCCCAGTTGTGCAGAGGAGGATGGCCCAAGTCCTTGGGCCCTGCACCCGCATGGGAGTCCGGGAGAAGCACCTGGCTCCTGGCTTCGGATCAGCGCGGTGTGCTGGCTGCAGCGGCCATTGGAGGATGAACCAACGGAAAAAGGAAGAGCTTTCTCTCTGTCTCTCTCACTGTCCACTCTGCCTGTCCCCCCCCCCCCAAAAGAGCCCACAGGCTTATTTATATATTGAAAATTATTAATAAGCAGCCCGATATCAGCTTTGTGTTCTGTAAAAGTGCTATTTTTGTTGTATTTTATTTATTTATTTGCATAAACACACTTAAGATGACAGTGTTGTTCACTATCGCTGAAGTGGTGTACCTGGGTAGCCAGTTTAGGTCTGAGTGCAGTGAATCCTTCCTGCAAGCCTCCATGTGTAGTTTTTTTTTTTTTTTTAATTTTATTTAATGAACAAAAATTTCCAAAGTACAGTTTATGGATTACAATAGCTTCCCCCGCATAACTTCCCTCCCACCCACAACGCTCCCCTCTCCCACTCCCTCTCCCCTTCCATTCACATCAAGATTAATTTTCAATTATCTTTATTTACAGAAGATCAATTTAGCATATATTAAGTAAAGATTTCCACAGTTTGCACCCACACAGAAACACAAAGTGTAAAATACTATTTGAGTACTAGTTATAGCATTGATTAAACACCTAAGAGTAACTGTGTATTAATTACAAAGTTCAACCAATAGTTTTAAGTAGAACATAAAAAATTACTAAAAGGGTAAAGTATTAAGTTCTTTTTTTTCTTTTTTTCTTTTTTTTGTTTGTTATATAGTTTTTTTTATTTAATAAATGTGAATTTACAAAGTGCAACTTTTGCATTGTTGTGGCTTCCCCCCACCAACCTCCCTCCCTCCCATGGCCCTCCCCTCTCCCACTCCCTCTCCCATCCCGCCCTTCATCAAGTTTCATTTTCAATTACCTTCATATACTGAAGATCAACTTAGTATATACTAAGCCAGGATTTCAACAGGCTGCACTCACACAACCGAACCAGGTATAGGGTATTGTTCGACTAGTAGTGTTGTTTTTGAGTTTCATAGTTAAACCCATGTGTAGTTCTGTACTATTGTCAATCAAAATACCCCTTTCCTGGGATGTGCCTGCCTTATCCAGGATCTAAGGAGAGGAACAGGGTGAAAATATGGATATTAAGCTCCACATGGAACTTGTGGAGGTACCATGTAATTCCCAGATGTCTTCGTGCCTGTAGAGGGATGACCCCCTACCCCCATCTCATAAAAGAGCTCTGGAGGTGCTACACAAATATTATATCTGCTCTCTTATCCCTCCTCCAGATATGGGATAAGGCAGGTAGCTAGATTAAGGTCACACCTGGAATCCACACCTCCCTCACCCTATTTAATCCTATCTGCCCACCTATAAATCACATGACCCCTTCCCCAGGACGTACTTCCCCTCACCTGGGACTTGGGGGCGGTACCATGTAACCACTCCCCTTTCCTACCTCATAAGAGGCCAACATCGAGGTGGGGTTCTGTCTCTCCATAGGCTCAGAGGATGTAATGTACTAAAACACCTTTCTCTCTGTCTCTGTCTCTCTCTCATCTTTCCTTCCTGGCCCTGTATTCCTGAACAATGCCCACATGTGTGTTTTCTTCGCCTTTTAAAAAACTTTATCACTTTGTACATTGTTTTTTTGTGTCTGTAATTAGAATGCTTCTCTAGTTAGGAGACAAGAGCCTGGAATAGGGATGTTAGGCTGCACCTGGCCCACAACACTCCCTTCATGTAATCCTCTGGCCCACTGCCCACTCCTGACCTGTATTTCTCCATGTGGGGCAACCCATGCTGATATGTGTATGTGTGTTCACTTTGTCACCTCTTGAAAAAATTTTGTACCACTTTGTGCACCTTATATGTATCTGCACTTGGAATGCTCATCTTTGTGGGAGATAAGAGTTTGGAGTAAAAATTAATATTCGGTAGCCTGCATCATACTGGCGAGCCAGGCAGGAGTTTGAGAACGTTCAACTATGGCCCTAGAAATGGCTGCAGGTGAGTGAATTTGATTCTCTCAGCTACAAGTGATGCTTAGCTGCTTGTTACAAAAAATTCT